ATATTATGAAAAAAATATACTTAGGGTAAAAGTGTAAAAAAAATTATAAACTTAAGGGTAAAAACGCAAAAAAATAGTAAACTTAAGGGTTTTTTTTACGAATTTAATATAATGGTAACCTGGAAAACCTGTTATCACCGGTAAAAGGGTAAAATCGAACATTTTTCGAAAATGTTTGGGTAAAAACCGACATAAATTTCATCTTTGGGCAAAACCGACAAAACCCTGTAAACTTGAAGGTTTTTATGACATTAACCCAATGGACAATATTCGTGTAAAGTCTGTATGTGATAAGATTGTTTTGGAGGTACAACCCATTCGGTTGTTTGAACTCTTAAAAAGTCCACGTATTTAACAATTTTATAATAAAAAGGCAGTTTGTATTATTTAAGTATATAAACTTAGGATGTGACAAGTTATTTTCCATCAACAAACAATAACTTTTCTAGAAATTAGCATAACATATCGAAATAATTTTAAGTGGTAACAATTTGACTGTTTGACTTTTTCATAATCGGGAAATCAGATCACTTTATCCACAAAACAAAAATTGTATATCGCGATTTTATTTTAAATGTAATATCAATTAATCAATATCTAAACAAACATATTACTAATGATGCTCAACTTAAATACATATTATATTTATTATTTGAAACAATAAAAATTAACATTATAAGGAACCTTCTTTAAGCAACACATGGTATTACTTTATATTTAACCATATATATTTTGTTACGAAAGTTGTCAATAACTTCATAAATTATTAAAAGTGATGAGTTGTTAGTGCCGACAATTATTAATTATTCATAAATTCAAATTTAGTCGTTTCCTTTCTTTTAATAAAATCATATTCTTTAATTAGACAATGTTTGAAGTATAATGTATCGAAATTATTCTTTAACAATTAAATTTTAGAGTAAATTACAAAAATGGTCCCTGTGGTTTGATTCAATAGTTTTACTTTGGTTTTTTTTCATAAATAGTTATACGAAAAAATATAATTACTTAGACAATATAAATAAAGAAACATTGACATATAAACAAATGATGTAAACGAAAAACACATAAAACCTTAAAACCTCTTAAAACTAAACAAAATAACAAACACTAACATATAAGTGAATGATGTAAA